TTAGACTGCCCTTGACGTAAAAAGCTTGCTGCTTTTCATTTTCATGTGATATGCATATTTATCAATTTTTTCTGCAAGGGTGCAGAAACTAGAAAAGTTAATTGAGTAGTCCGTTAGTTTTTTATTTTTACTAAAGTTGAATTCTTGATTGCTTAGAGCTCGTTTATGCCAAAAAAGTGATTTTTCTCCACACACACACGCACACAAAAGAAAACGAAAAAGACAGTTTTAAAAAATATATTATATTCAACTCTAAATTTGGTGCTCGGATGAATGACCCTTCAAACTCTTGCCTTTTGTATCCCTATTTAAACTTATCAAAAAAAATCTCTAATTAGATTGAAGTTAGAAATATATAGTCAGATATTTCAAATCTTTACAGAGAGAGGCGGATCTAGAATTTCTAGAATATGGGTGTACCACTAATGAAAGGAGGAAAAAAAAGTATTAAGTGAGAATTGATTCCTGTCCCCTTGGATAAATAACTCAGTACTCAACCAAGTGCACCATTTAGCCTCTTTGGAACATGGGAGCCAGCAGATAATATTAGACCAATTCTCAAAATACATACATAAATACCTATTTTAACGGAAAGATCATGGGTTCACGTGCCCCATAATTTGGGCTGTAAATCTGCCCCTGCAAATGCACATAATTGTTACTATGTAGAGGCCGTGCCAATTATTAGCTCTCTACATAATCTTTGGAAACTATTTCTTTGGAAACTTTATTAGCTCTTTACATAATCTTTGGAAACTGTTTCTGTTGTACTCAATTGTTTGTAACAGCATGCCAATTATGCTGATAAATTTCTACAATGTCACATAATATTTTAAAAAAAGAAGAAGATTTCAAATCCTTATGTGTCCCTTCTGCCTTAGTTTAGTTTGTCTAACATGTTATGCATTTGTACTGGCGCAAATTGGGTAATATTTAATCTTCAATTTATTTGACAGTGTCAAATGCTCTCAAGCTGATGGAAATGGAAGCACAGTGAAGAGAACAACTCTCCATGATCTCTATGAGAGGCAAGGCCAAAGTCCATGGTATGACAATCTCTGCCGCCCTGTTACGGATTTGCTTCCACTAATTGAAAGTGGTGTCAGAGGTGTAACCAGCAATCCTGCGGTAAGCTATTAACCTGTTGTCGTTTATTTCTGTGCCGTTCACTTATTTGAATAAAATTTCTACTGTTTTTAGTTTCTACTTGTTAGTCTACAATTCCATCAACCTACCTAACTGTTAGTTTGATGATTGCAGATTTTCCAGAAAGCGATATCAACATCAAATGCATACAATGAACAGTTTAGGTATGTAGATTTTGAAATGTTTCTCATTAGCAGTTGTGCTTTTTTTGGCAATAGTTTGTTGTTGAATGCTAGGGGTTTAGAAACCATTTATTTGATTTAACGTGAATGCCAAAATTGAAGAGTAAAGGAGGAGAGGAGGCACAATTTGAGGAAAGTTATGAGCGTTGGATCTTGGGAAAGTAAAGATAAACATTTTTGTTTTCCAAATGAATGTTGTTTGATCAAATACCCATTTAAAGGTTGGGCTTGTTATGTGTATTGCACCCTCCGACTCTTCCTTGTAGCTTTATATCAATGCCATTTTCAATGTTTATCACATTGTAATAGTGTTTGATGGACTTGCGGTAATATAAGATGTCGTTTACCTTTTTCTTTTTAAAGGGTCCTCTCAACAACATATTACGGGAAATGAATATATGATTTCTTCACCTGTGACTATTCGTTTTGCCTGTTTCCAACTCTGCGTATCTCGCTGCTGTTTTTAGGGAACTTGTTCAAGCTGGAAAAGATATAGAGAGCGTATACTGGGAACTTGTGGTAAAGGACATCCAAGATGCATGCAAACTCTTTGAGTCAATCTACGATAAAACAGATGGTGGTGATGGGTACGTTTCCGTTGAAGTCTCACCTAGACTTGCTGAGGATACAGAGGGCACTGTAGAGGCTGCAAAGTGGCTTCATAAGAAGGTTGAGCGGTCCAATGTGTATATAAAAATTCCAGCTACTGCTCCATGCATTCCTTCCATCAAGGAAGTCATTTCACTTGGAATAAGTGTCAATGTCACGGTGAGTTGATTCCTTGTTGCCTTTTTGACAACTTGACGTGTCATGCATGAGATTAAAGATTGCTTGTCTTCTCTTGCTTATAAAAGAGATAATTGTGTGGCACTGGATTAGTAAGTGATGAAGAGAATTATTTAATTAAAAAGGATTTATTACTACTGAACAATAAAAAAAAACACAAAAATCCATTACTAGTTAAGGTCCATGTTTGTTTATTTAAAGAAACTGCTTAAAATAATATGATGTTTCATGTTATTTTCTTCTATTTCCTGTTTGTACTTTAGTGGTTTCTGAATACTGAAGTAGCTCCTATGTCTATGCGCAGCTCATCTTCTCTCTTGCAAGATATGAAGCAGTCATTGATGCTTACCTCGATGGCCTTGAGGCCTCTGGGCTAAGTGATCTCTCCAGAGTCACAAGTGTTGCTTCATTTTTCGTGAGTCGAGTAGACACACTTGTCGACAAGATGCTTGAGAAAATTGGAACTCCAGAGGCTCTTGATCTTCGTGGGAAGGTAGCTAATACAGCTATGAATTTGTCTGTTCTTTTTGGGATGTTAGAGAAATACAAGTGACAGATAACCTCATGTTGTCTTACTTTCATTACAGGCTGCAAATGCGCAGGCAGCTCTTGCTTATAAGCTTTACCAGAAGAAATTTTCTGGTCCTAGATGGGAAGCTTTGGTAAAGAAAGGTGCCAAGAAACAGAGGCTACTGTGGGCGTCAACTAGCGTTAAGAACCCAGCATATCCTGACACTTTATACGTGGATCCTCTCATTGGACCAGACACGGTGAGTCATCTTATTGCCTTCTTGTTTGTGGTGACTGTGGCGCTTTAAAGTCGACGTCAAATCACTTTCTTGAATGGTGTTTTTGAGGCCATTATTTAAGTTCTCTCCTGTTAGCCTAGTGGGCTATATTTGTCTGCAAAAAGAATAATTCATCAAATCACTTTTCTTGGAGTGACCTCTAATGAAATATTACTCGAGGCATTTGCACAAATGGCCTTTTTTTTGAGGCCACTATTTTAATTATGTCTTTAGCCCAATGGGCTATATTTATCTGCAAGAGTAATAATTCATGCAATTACTTTTAAAAGGGAAATGGAACCCACTGGCCTAATGGGGACAGAAATTAAAGAGAGGGCCTCGGAAAATGCCATGCGAATAATCCATATTACCTTGTGTTTGCCTGATGGTTGACCTTTAATTAAATGTCTGTTAGGTTTCAACAATGCCCGATCAAGCTCTTCAAGCATTTATCGATCACGGCTCTGTTGCAAGGACGATTGATTCAAACGTATCTGAAGCCGAGGGTATTTACAGTGCCCTTGAGAAGTTGGGGATCGACTGGAGCTTTGTTGGGTCTCAACTTGAATTGGAGGGTGTGGATTCTTTCAAGAAGAGTTTCGATAGCTTGCTCGACAGTCTGCAGGAGAAGGCAAACACCCTCAAGTTAGTGAGTCTGTAAAACAAGTTTTATTGCTAGGGACTGAATAAATGATTAGTCCAGTTGCCTGAGTTTGCTGGATTTTGTAATGTATAATCTAAAAATGTTTGGTGGTAATACTATTTTGTGATAAGGAATTTGATATTGGTTTTGGATTTTGTGGTGGTTGTCACTTGTCAGCTTTCTAGATTGCAGTTGCCGGATTTGAAAATACCAAATGGATAAAAAGGTAAAGTTGTCTCAGTGTGATCTATAGGTCACAGTTTCGAGCAGTGGAAGCAGCCACTGATGCTTACATTAGGGTAGGCTGTCTTACATCATACACCTTGGGTGCGGTCTTTCCTGGGTCCTGTGTGAATGCGGGATACCTTGTGTATCGGGCTGTTCTTTTTTCTCTATTGTGTTATCCTGAGAGCTCGATTAAAGTACAAGACATCGTAGTTCATTACATATAAAACTAGAAATAATGTATCGGGTTGTTCTTTTTTCTCTATTGTGTTATCCTGAGAGCTCGATTAAAGTACAGGACATCGTAGTTCATTACATATAAAACTAGAAATAATGACTTTGTATTTATATTTTCATTGTTCACCTAAGTATTTATGCACTAATTTAAAAAGAACTTTGTATGATTTTGTCCGAAGATTCAAACAATAAAGTATGTCTCAATTAAATAAAAAAACTAATTGTGGTTGACTATAGAAGTTTTATGTCTCAATTAAATAAAAAAACTAATTGGGGTTGACTATAGAAGTTTTCTATATTCATTTTGTTTTATTTTGGATTCGTTTCACTCTAATACTAAACAATGATTCTTTCAAGGGAAATTAAAGGTTAGTTTAATTTTGTGAATCTCATTCTTATTCTTGCACGAACGTACAAATTTCTTATCAGATTAAAGAAAAACTTTCGCAAATATGGATTTCTTTGGTTAGTCTTTTACTTTTATTGGTCAAGCACATATTCTTGTTAATCCAACTACAACTATTTAGATGTTATTGGTTTGTATCATTAGATCATTCACAAGTGGGAGGGGATAGCGAGTAGAAACAAAATCATGTTTTTGGATGTATTTGGTACGACGAAAGTTTTATAGTATTTTCATCTTAGTTTTTATTTTGGTATTTTCATACCTAATTTCAATTTTTTTTTTGAACTGAGAGTCTATCAAATACAACCTTTTTTATATTTGGTATGACAAACGTTATTTTTCAAGAAAAATATTTTGTATCAAGGAGGAAAAATGACTTTTCATTTATGGGCGAAAGTCATTTCATTTACACCCATCTTAATATTTCATATTACTTATTCCAACTAATACCAATATATTCTTATAAATCTCTAATACTTAATTCAGACACTCAGATTCGCTATATTTAATATTTTAAAAAAATAAAATTCTTACCTTGAAAAAGGACTTTTTGGCATTAGAAGGGTAAGATGGTAAAATGAAGGGCAAAAGAAGAAGAAAATCTGAGGCCGTTGTTTCCTTCCCGCGAAGCTTCTCTCTCCTTCTACTATCAATCCATATCCGATAGCATCAGCTGCAAGTTTTGAGCTGATTTTACTAAAATGGCGACGTCATCCTTTTCATCACTGGGATCATTCTCACGGATACCAAATTCATCAACTTTTACCAAGATTTCTTCTTCTACTTCTTCATCCACGGTAACACTTACTAACTACTATCTCGCTTTTCAATTTCTTCTTTTTTTACTTAAATTGTACTACTAATTTATTGGTTTTATTAGTTGGGACAGCGGCAAATTGTATGTACAACATTTAGGGAACCAAATGTTGATTTATCCAGTTCCTCTGGTTGGTAATATTTTCAGTTTTTTCATGGTTTATTTTCTTCCTATTATTGTGAAATTTTAATTAATTTAATTCTTTAATTGGCCTCAGATGGTAATGAATGTTCGGATTGTAGAACTGTAGTCGATCGAAGGGGAGTGTTGTTGTCATCAGTGGGATTTTTAGCAGCAACCATTTGTAATGCTGGGAAGGCAGCTGAATTTGCTGACAGTAATATCTCTCCTATCCACATTTTATTTTATTTCTATTTTTTCATATTATCATAGGCGGAGGCAAGATTGAAACTTGATAGGTTTAACTTTTAAGATTCTTAGGATCAAAGTAATTATAGATTTGAAATTATGGTTTTAGACAGCATAAGAGTTGTCGCCATGTGACCAGGAGGTCATGGGTTCAAGCCTTGGAAACAACCTCTTACAGAAATGTAAGCGTAAAGTAAAATAGACTCAGTTTGGTCCAGCCCTTTCCGGATCCCGCATATAAAGGGAGCTTAGTGCAGTCGATCCCTTTTCACACACACGCACACATATATATATATTCGCGCTCCACATTGAAAATGCTGGTTCAGATGAACCCATTGCTCAAACGCGGTGTCCGACTCTACATATTAGCAATAATACTTAAAGTTCCTAAGGAGTAAGGACCTACCAGCACGCCTTTTTTATCTGTTGGCTGGGAAATGTGTGGTCAGTAAGCAGTCTATCAATCTATTATGTCTCAAAACCAAGCTAGTTGAGTTGGTCATATGAATATTCTGAATCCATTCCCCTCTGTTTGGGCTAATTTTATAACGATACTAAATGATTAGTCTTTCTTTTGGCCGTGGAACATGGCGACTCTGAGGCGGATGGAACCTATTTCAATGGGTTCAACTGAACAATTATTTTGAAATGCAGTGTAGATGCATATGTGAAAACACACTAAATTTCAACAAATATTATATTCTAAACACATAATTTCAAAAGTACATTGACTTTAGTGCTAAGAACCTAAGAACCTTAAAAGTTGAACACATCAAGTTTAAATCTTGGATCTGTCTTTGCCTGGCGTCAATAAGTGCAGATGGAATTTGAAGTTGAATATAAGCTGTTGAGAAAGATTTCTCTGTTTTTTTTCTTTCCTTTTCGTATTGTACATCTGGCTACTGGAGAGGAAGAAGCTTGGCTTTGCAGATATTTGCAACATCTCCTGATTTAAGATGCTCTAAAGATGTTTTTCTCTTCACCTCACAAATTACTTGTCGAGTAGATTGGCCATTACTAACTTGATATAGTTTTGTACTGGAGACCTAGAATCAGGGGCAGACCCACGTGGTGTCAAGAGGGTTCATATGAACCCGCTTCGTCGGAAAATTATACCGTGTATGAATATAAATGTCATCTAAAACAGAACAACTTTGTTATATATAAATAATTGAACCCACTTTGACATCAAAGTCATTGTGCAGTGATGGTCAAGTGGGTTCAAGTTTACCGGAACGTCCAGTGTTTGATCCTTCAGCTCAACACTTTTCTTTGCTTTTGGGCAGTTTTCAGCATTATGCTTGAATGGCGCTCAGCTGTAGTTACTTCAAATTAAAACTTAATTCAAAGTTAATTTATTTTTCTCTCACTGATTTCCAGTAAAACATGCAAGAATATTTGTTGAAATGATTTTTAATTTTGTAGTTTACTTTAGTTTGGTCTATATTGAAGTGTTTATCTGTTCTATATTGTCTTGTTGTTTTATATTATTATTATTTGGCTTATAAGATCTCTTCATCTAATTATTTGTATTTGTTTAGTTTATTTCACAACTCTTTTGTTACGTTTTTTTCCTTGTAAAGAACAACTTTGTTTTTGTCATGTAACAAGAAAAGGAATTCAGATTTTGTTACATGTTGCAGAGTTTAATATACTTTTAATTTGTTAACCAAGCTTAAAAATTTTAAAGCAAAATTTGTCAAATTAAGTAGATATTATCTTAAAGAGAAATTTAAATAGATTTTATAATTCTTTATTTTTTTTTAAAAAATGCACTACTTATTAAAAAAAGAGGCCGACTTAAAAATAATGACTTCATTTTGAGGTGGAAAGTAAAAAGAAAAAAATAGAGTAGCTAGCAAATCTTTATTGCTATGCCTGATGTTGATGTTGATTTTATGTCGGCTATTGTCGTGTCAATCTGACCCCGCCTATATAAAATTCTGGGTTCGCCACTGCCTAGGATGCTAGTTCTTTTGAGGGGTTTCCATTACATCGATTGTAGTCATTAGTTTGTTATTAATCAGCGAGTAGCTTGACCTTCTATAGTTGTCCTTAAGGAAGAGCTGGAACATTTTGGCTCTAAATTTGGGGGGGGGGGGGGGGGGGTTTGCTCCAAAAACTATCTTTTGATTTCTTTCATAATATAAAATGCCTATGTTGAGAGGAAACGACTATAATTTTTTGATTTCTTTCTGAACATACAGTGCCTGCATTGAGAGGAAAGGACTATGGGAAGTCAAAAATGCGGTATCCTGACTATAATGAAACTCAATCAGGTCTCCAGTATAAGGTTACTAAGACGATAGCATACATAAACGAGCTCTATCGTTTTTTTTCATCTATAGGTTGCACTGGATTTTGACCGAGTCTGACTAAAACATGCAGGATTTGAGAGTTGGAAGTGGGCCCACACCAAAGATTGGGGAGACAGTGGTGGTAAGCCTGTGATGGTCCACTCTAATTTATCTCTCGCGCCAAATTCGTTGTTTTAGTGGCCCGTTTTTAGCGATAATAATTGCAGAGAAAAGATAAGGTTTATTAATCAATTGACTTGTATTTACCTTTATAGAAGCAATTTAGAGAACTACGGTTCCAAGCTTACATTAATCTGAGTATCGTTTGGAGTTACATTTTTGTTTCTTTTTTGGTGAACCATCTTTGTTATCTATTGGATGCTTTAATTTATGTATCTTTAACAACTGAATTTAGGTTGACTGGGATGGTTACACGATAGGTTATTATGGTCGCATATTTGAAGCTCGTAACAAGACAAAAGGTGGTTCTTTTGAGGTACTAATCTGGATTGAATACAGTTAAATTGGGGATTCTTGCACAGTTTTAGGAACAATATTTGCAGTATTTTATGATACAATGTTCGTCATGTTTCATTATGCTACAGGGAGATGATAAGGACTTCTTCAAATTCAGAGTAGGATCCCAAGAGGTGAGTTTCTTTGGCAAACATCAAGTGCTATCCAGACAAGGGCGATTTAATTGTAATGCTATATGCCTAAAATATCTCTGATGTAAAAACCATGTTCTGAAATTGCATTATTATCAGTTAGTATTATTTGATTCTACCTCACTTGTCGGTTATGCTTGATCTTTTTCCTGGCACTTTTTAAAGCTGTGAGAAAGGTTTTCAACAGCATTGCTGTTTATCATATGTTCAGGTAATACCGGCATTCGAGGAAGCTATTACTGGCATGGCAATTGGTGGTATCAGAAGGTAATATAGCTGCATTTAGCTGATAACAGATCCATTTACCTTTAGTTTACCGATCATTGCATCCTTAAATAAAAGTTTGGACTCTTGTAACATCAAGTTTTGCTAAATTCTGGATTTTTTGCACTTGAAAGACCAAGAGTGTTGAATGGAAAAGAGAAAATCCACGTGTCGCCCCTTAAAACTAGGATAAGTCTGGTGGGATTAGACACAAATAGACTTTGAATGATTTTATATTCTCATTAATATGGGCTCGACTTGAATACAATTACCTGATGAGAAGCAGTGCCTCAGAGGACGGTAGTTGAGTCTTCACAGGTTATATTGATCTCCTATTTATATGGTCAATGTGATTGTAGTCGGGCGCCCAAATGCCTATGCTCTTTACTAAAATACTCTTTTGGTTGAATTGGTTCCTTTTTATATGTTGGATTTGATCTTAGCCAACTGAGACCTTATTTAGGCAGGGGCAGATGTAGCCTTACGACTACAGGTTCATCTGAACCCATAACTTTTCACATAGAGTGTATGTGTGTGTGTATATATATATACCGAAAATCCTAAAAGTTGAATTCATTACATGTAAATCCTGGATCCGCCTCTATATTTAGGGGGTTTCCAAAAATTAGCTATATTTTATCCACCTGTTCCAAGGAACGGCACCTGACAACGATGTTGCATCACATTGTCACTACTACTACATAGCTTCTTCAATACTATCTTCCCAAAGACTAGTGAGGACGACATCATGATGTATTCTCCTGTTTCATTTTCTCCTCGCAATAGTGCAGGATCATAGTTCCTCCGGAGCTGGGATACCCTGATAATGACTACAACAAGAAAGGTCCAAGACCAACGACATTTTCGGTAATCTCAATTCCTTATAAAGCTGAGTTCTACGGCACACACATCCGTTTTCTCTTAAAAAGTTCCATTTTTATATTTTTACAGGGACAAAGAGCTCTGGATTTTGTGCTGAGGAACCAAGGATTAATTGATAAGACTCTCCTGTTTGATATTGAGCTCCTCAAAATCGTACCAAAATGAAGTTGCTCGTTCAACTTTTACTACGACGCCCTGTTTAGCTGCATCAGCAAGTTTAACTTCCACTTGGACAAAAGGAATATCAGCCTAATGAACGACTGATTCGCCCCTTATAGAAAATTTACTGTCTTGTTTGAACGCATTAAATTGTCGATAGATTCATTTTGAAAATCAATGTAAACAATGATGGGTCTGGTACTGTTGATGTAACGACATCTCTTATGTTCATAAATTTGACTATTTATTATGAAAGTGATATTTCAGGACAGCATTTTGTTTGGTTTGTGAATAAGATTGTTGATTATTGTGTATTTTGGGGACTAGTTGTTTGAATTTTAATTTTGATATTGGACTAGTAGTTGTTTGAAATGTTACTGTTGCAGACTTGAAAATTACCAATCAAGACTTGGTATGAGCGCACTGATTACTTATTAGCTAGCAAGTCACTGATTAAAAAAAAATTATTATCAGATGTTATCTGTTCAGTCAACGGAGAGCTTTCGGCGCTTGACCGTTACTTTGCTTTTGACATCAAAAACCATGACATTCCAGTCAATTTCTGGGAAGGGAGAGATCAAGTCCAACCATAGCTCCATATTGCTTTTATCTGCAGATATGCAAATGGTTCCCCTAAGAACTAGGTTGCATATTTATGGCTGATGTGCGAGCAAAGTGAAAATAGCATAGGCTAGCCAGTTTTCAGACGGGTAATCGAAAAATAGTCAGAGCATTTGCAAAGTCATTAAAAAATAGCCATTAGTTTAACTGAAACACGAAAAGTTCTAGCATAATATGCTGGATTATGGAGCTCCTGCGTATAAACTTTCAGCATATTATGTTGGAACTCCAGTATAAAATTCCAGCATATTATGCTGGAATTTCATATATAAAAATATTCGAACTCCAACATATTATGCTGAAATTTTTCCGGAATTTAGCAGCAAGCATTTGTAATGGTGGGAAGGCAGCTGAATTTGCTGACAGTAATGTCCTCTCCTATCTACATTTTATTTTATTTCTATTTTTCATATTATCAGAAGCAAAAGCAAGATTTAAACTCGATAGCTTTAACCTTTAAGATTCTTAGGATCGAACTAATTATACGTAGAATTTATCGCCGTGTGACCAAGAGGTCACGGGTTCAAGCCTTAAAAACAACCTCTTATAAAAATACAAGCTAAGGCAGCGTAAAGTAAAATAGACTCAATGTGTTCCGACCCTTCCTGGACCCCTCTTATAGAGGGAGCTTAGTGCACTGAACCCCTTTTTCCACAATATATATATATATATGCGCGCGCGCTCCACATTGAAAATGCTCGTTCAGATGAACCCATTTCCTAAAGGCAGTATCCGACTCCACATATTACCAATAAAGTTCCTATGGACCTACCCGCAAGCCTTTTTAATCTATTGGCAGGGGAGTTTGTCGTCAGTATTCAATCCTTCAATCTACTGTGACTCAATACCAACCTAGTTGACTTTGGTTATATGAATCCTCTGAATCCATTCCCCTCTATTTGGGATGGTTTCATATTAATATTAAGTAATTTATCTTTCTTTTGGCCTTGGGACGTGGCAACTCAGATGGGGATGAGCCTTTTTTTAATGGGTTCAACTGAGCAAATATTTTTGAAACTCAGTATAGATGCATATGTGAAATACTAAAATTTCAAAAAATATTAAATTCTAAACTGTAATGAAAATAATCGCAGGGCGAGAACAATATTAGCGTATCTGTCAATGCAGCGGAAGAATTGTTGAACTCACCACCAAAAGAATTGCCCCAAGTCGAACTTCGAATCTCTTGGAAACAAAGTTAGAATTTCACGAACTAAATATCTTCTTGTGTTGATTGGGAAGAGTTTTTTTGATCCCACTCTTACCTTTTTTCTATAGTATTTCAGAAAAGAAGAAAGCGTATGTTTATATGGAGAGGGGAGATAGCAGTTATGGGAAAACTGTTCGCACTACACTTAAACATGTAGTAACATCTTTGAAGAGTCCCACTACACTTAAACGTGTCGTAACCTCTCTTTAAAGAGGTTATTTTAAACCCTATCTCTTCTAAAATTCTTTCTTTTCCAAATGGGTTGGGCCAGCCCTCATGGAGCGACCCGATACCCGGATCCAATATCCAACATCTCCCACTTTGCTCATGATGGGCTGGAACTCAAACCGGTATCATTATTAAATAACACACTTAATTCATACAGACAAGTAGTTCGTGCGACCTGCGAGTATTGATGATATGCTATAATTACATATTTTAGTCGATTATTACACTCTAATTTACTTCACTTTAGTTGAGTTTGCGCTTTAATCGCTAGTGTTTTGCACTAATTGTGCGTTTTATGCCTTGTAGGAGTGATTCCGAGCTATATAGATGTTATGGAATGAATTCAAGTGATTTGGAGCTTTGTTCTGAGTAAAAGCCCAAGGAATTAAGCCGGGATCGTGTTCAGGGGTCAAATTTGATAGTTAAGAACAAACGAAGACTCGAGTAGGCATATTACGCACTGTCTAGTAAAATAGACATAACTCCTTGCTCCGAACTCCATCTGGGCTATATAATATATGGTTGGAAAGCTAACTCAAAGGGCTAAAACTTTCATGTTTTAAGCTTTTCCAAAATTCCAAACAGAACAGGTGAAAAACGCGTTCGAAACCGCGACAGCGGACCTGGCGCGGACTGAGGCAGTGCACTGGGAAAATACCGCGCCCGGACCGCGACCGTGAGCGTCCAGACCTGAAAAATTATCCTTTTTCGCGTAGGAGAAGGTATAATTGTTTGGGCCGACCCTACTTGGTTATATACATGGAAAAACGGTATTTTGAGGAGGTTGGACATACTTTTGACATAATTTAGACCTAAGGAGGCCAAGGAGACCGGAGATTTAACCTAAGGAGGCAAGAACACACTAGGAGCAAGGCGGAGAATTCTTCTACGAGTTTTTCACTTCCTTCTTCCTATTTTCATTATTGGTTATGACTTTTAGTATTGTAGTTTTACATACTATTATGAATAGCTAATTTGTTATCTAGGGTTTTGATAGAATCTTTTGTAGGATGAATTCTTGTTAGGTTTTAATATAATTTAGCCTTTGAATTTATCTATTTGTTCAGCTACGTGTTTATTTCAGTTGATTAAATGTCCATCGATTGACTGTGCCTATTTATTATGTGTTGCTTGAGAAAGGATACATATTTAGGTGGTTGTTGAACAACGTCACTCCTAACGTATGTGAGAAATTAATACAACGGGTTTAAAGGCAGGTTTAGAAATAACAAAGCCTTGACGTGGTCATAATGAGCGGTTAGATAAAGCCAACTAGTGTAGTTCGAGAGAATATGTCTAGTAAATTGTTGTAGTTGCTCGAGAGAGAATTTCGGCACTTAAGTGCTCACGATCAGTAGAGAATATATTGGCAAAATTGTAGGGAACATAGCTAGAAGAATTCCGACAATTGGGGAAATCATAACTCTAGACCTCCTTAATTTAGTCTCCAACCCTTTGTCTCGTTAGTTGATAATTTTACCGCTTTGTAATATTTGCTAGTTAATTAGTTAGAAATATAAATCTCAATTTTTATAATTTAGAAAATTGTTCAAACTTGTCTTCTTAGTGATATTAAACAGATATAGCTAAGCCTTAGTTCTCTGCGGGATTCGACTCCGGACTTTTAGACCAGATTATATTTGCAGCGACCGCTTATCCTTTTTAGGACTAGAGTTGGGCGTGATCAAATTTTGGCGTCGTTGCCGGGGAACTAACGGTGTAGTTGTAGCTGTATATATTGTTAGGGTTCAACTTTTCACTTTTATTCTGTTTTGTTTTTTTTGTACTTTTTTTATAACTGTTGATTTGAGAAACATGACATCTTGGAATTATGGGAATTTAGGTGTAGATAATTCTACTATTGATCTCCATACATATTGTGAAGGAAACCACCCGTGGCAAAATTTTCAAAACGTTCCTGAGAGCGAGTTATGTGCACCAACTCAATCTTATTTGTGGAATGTGTGTGATGTGTGTGGTGGTAAAAATGGTCACTTTTATGGTTGTGCTTATATTTCTTATCTTCCCCCAACCCCTTACTATGATGATTTTACCTTTTCTTGTGAAGTTAACAGGAACAAAGAACCTGGGGATGCAAACCTGAAGGAGATCAAGGATATATTAAAGTGCCTTCTGAAACAAAATAATGAAAAACAATTGCAGATAGAAAGGCAAGAGGCAACTATTCGCAAGTTGGAGGCTCAATTAGTCAAGTGGTTGGAGCTTTTAATGCTCAACAAGCCAATATTGAGGAGAGTAGCCAAGAAGAGCATGAATTTGAGGTGTTAATTGGGGAGGTCAGAGTAGAACATCAACAACCTAGCCAACTACAATTTGAGGATGTCAATGTTGAAGAAGTTAGACTAGAGCCAGCCAAGGAATTTGAGGATATAAATTTTGTTGACTCTAGTATCATTGATGTTGAGGATGTTGAAAGTACTGAAGTTCATGTGTTTGAGCGCATTGGTCCACACTCCAAGCATTTTTCCACATTATGTTTGGATGATGATATGAAAATAGAGTCATCCGAGCCAATTGAAGAGTCAAGGAATGAGGAACAAGGTGCATATATTCTGGAATTCTTTTTGCCATAAAGTCAGGATTACATATCTCATACAAAGGCCAAGGAGTGCAGAATACTACATTATTTCCTTGGGCCAGTTAGATTCGTTCCACCGCTCCATGACCATAATCATAAGCTTGAATTAAAACTTGGGGTTCAATTCATAAGCTCGAGGTGGAGGCAAAAAGTGATTCACGTCGTGCCGCGACGTTAAATCAAGCACTTGTTGGGAGGCATCCCAGCTTTATTTTTTTTATTTTTAATTTAGTTTATTTTTTTATATTTATTATTGTATTATTCTTGTAGTGTTGATTTTTGATTTTTAGGAGCATGGAGCGCAAAGCCATTGGAAGGATGCAACAACAAACCAGATGGTTGGAACTAAGTGTGAGGTACCCGCACGAAGGACCAGGCCTGGGAGAAGTCTGAGTACTCCATGAGATGCGAGTGCTTCGGCCTTTGGCCTACCAGGGAGTTCCTTTTACCCTCTTGTATGTATGGATGCACATTGGGGAGGGGACAATGCACAATTTAAAGTGTGGGGTGAGGAGATTGTCTAGGTGACTTTCTATGTTATCTTAGTTGTGTTAGTTTAGTTGAATATTTTTTTTAAAATAGAAAAGATTGAACTTTTCCCGACGATGGATCT